GACTAAAAAATTTATGAGGGATAAATCCTTTATGGTCTGATCCTAATAAATTATCAAGATTTGAACTTAAGACATCTGAATTTACAATTTGTTTATGTTTAAAATTAGTGGTTAAAATTGCTCATTACTTGATAATAATCCGAAAATGCACAACATGAATAATGAATAATGAATAAAATAATTTTGACAGCAATGAATCTATTTAACTGGTGTTGAAAGATGAGGTAATTTTGACATGAATAAAATAATTTTGCTCATTACTTGAAAATTGAAATGCTATTCTTTAGGCATTTACGCTGAATTCAGTACCGCCTTCCAAAGATGAGGTGGTGGCTGGTGCCATTGGTCGGAACTTTATCTCCAGGGGCTTGCTTGAAGCAACAAGCATTGATGATGCTTTAACCGTAAGCGCTTTCTTTTAATCCTCACCTCTCCTTTAAACTTATTTCGAAGAATGAAATGGGTTTGATATTGTAGATGCTTTGTTTGTCTTCAGAGAATTCATTCATCAGAAGCTTCTGTCGGACATAGTTATAATCTGATCGACGTAAAAACACGAAGGATTTTGAATGTTGAAACTGCATCAAAGAATCGGGTTTCAGTTCATGAGGTTGGGGCAACACCATTCTTCCATGCCAATGCATACCTTCATCTTCAAATTCAGCAGGCAGGTAGGTAACATTGCTCATCTAGATAGAAAGTGAAAATAAATAACATTGACATCTCGCCACTATTGAGTATGAGTGTTCCATGCTGAGGAAGCCGCCATACTCCTTCCACAACTATAAAAATAATAACATGCCACCTTTTTCGCTTCAAGAACCACATACTTGTTCATGAATATAGCCTTGCGGTAGTCCATGAGTATTGAATATAGTATCATTTTTTGGGTTTTGTGTGATGAAGGCAGATGATGAGAACTCACTGAGTAGGCAAAAAAGAGCAGCTCTACTGCCGAAAGGATCAGAAAATGATTTTCTATCACTCTTGGGAGACATGAATGATGAAAAATACCCCATCTATATGACAGGTAACTCAAAGGAACTTGAACATTCTCCCTCTGCTATACTCTGTTATTTATGTTCTTCACTCTACTGTCAGGTCCAATACTGTACACTCTTTGCACAACTGTGATTGATTTAGATGAACGAACTCTCTCAATTATCGAAGGAAACCCGAAGGATGCAGTAGCGTCTTACATCTACCCAATGTCCTGAAGGATAGCTTGGCAAATCGCATTGGAAAGGCTTAGCATTTTTCTAGTGTCTTGAGCTAAGTTATATGCACCTTAAGCTCTATTCTATTTCTATTTTATCTAGTTTTTGAACTTGGTAAGCCTGAAAATCTATTGTGATCGTTTGTTCTCTAACTTACAGGGATTACAACATGAACCCTTATTTGCACTTCGATCATTTGTCTAAGTTGATCCAAATAGCTTATCTCAATGTTAACTAGTTTTACTTGTACGAATTTATAAGCACCATGATTATAGTATGAGGGTTATACCTGGTGCTATGGGGAAAACGCAAGGAGATGAAACGGATTCCTTGTTGATGCCATCAAAGAATTCTAGAGAAGCTGAACAAACTGATGTTGTGGTCACCTCTCCGATTAAAAATAACGCAAGCAGCAACAGTAGTAACATAATGGGAATTAACCCAAATTTCTGTATTATTGCATCAGCTGATATTCACAAAGCACAAATTCTCAAACCAGAAGTCCGACCTCAACCAATCCCACAAGCCTGATAGGAACTTATGAAGCTTTCAGATAAACATGTCATGACCTAGGAAATCTTCGAGGCTTTTAAGCGTGAGCGTGAGTGCTGACCTCGTGTCCTTGCTTCAAGTAGCTTTGCCTTCAAAGTATTCTCCTTTGAATCTGCAGGCAATTTTGAGGACGACTCAGATACGCCTACATCTTGGGATGGTAGCCTTGTTGTCCACTGTCGTACTGGACTCGGATGACTCCATGCAGAATTACCAGAAGAAGCTATCCCATAACCATTTTGCCTATCAGGTGGCAAATTCCCACTTTCTGACATTAAATACTGGTTTCTAATTAACTCATCAATTATGTAATTTGAGTTCGATCCAGGAGTTCCAACAACTTTATTCTTGCTTTCCGAATTACCTTCTTCTGTGGCTTCACAAATTTCAGACTTTCTGGAAACACTTATTTCAATAGGGTTCCCCTCCCCACTTTGTCCTTCCGTTTCCTCAACTTGGTTCTTACTCTCATTATGTGCTATGGCCCAAGATATATGTTCTTCAAACTTCAACTGCAAGCTGGATGGATTACGATCTTTAATCCTTTCATGAGATGTGAAGTTTTTCCTTGTATGATTTGGCTTCACGATTTCATCAATATGACTTCCAGCTTTGTCTCCTACCTGTTTCAAGTCACCAGCACCGGGTTTGTTTAGCTCAAAACAATGTGAATCACTGCCTGCAGAATCATCTTCATCACCCTCTTCATGGGAAGCACTAACAGCCACATTCAAAGGGATGGATTCCAGAGAACTCCGGCGGAAATTGGGCTCCCGTGGCACCAAATTATCCTTACTCTTGCCATTATTATTCCGTTTTGCTTGAAGAAAGTTCTCTATTTCAGAACTCACCTTGTCCACTACTGAATTCTTATCTCCTAACAGAGGTTCCATTTTCATCTGCATTCGTTCATCTAGCCATGATTCAGATATATGGAGAATTAACCTATCATGATCTGCTTTGGCAGCCCAATCCTTGTCAGATTTCTGTTTTAAAGCATGCACTTCTCGTTCATAGTCTCTTATTCCCCAAGCAAACTCATCACAAAGGTCTTCCAACAGCTTTCGTGATTTTCTCTCTTTTTCCTGCTCCTTCAAGGAATTAGCAAGAGAAATTTTTACATCATAAAGCTCCCGAGCTAACTTCCTGTGCAGGATTTCTGAGCGTTTTCTTAACTTCCTTTCATCTTCCAGTTCATCCTTTACAGATTGAATTGCAGCACTAATCCGATCTTGTTCTTTGCTCTTCCTAACTACTTTGTCTTCTGCAATCTGCTTCATCAATTCATCTATCTCACATCGATCAGCTCGCTGATCTTGAACCAACTCTTTGATCCTGGCACGTGCATGGTCTAGCTCCTTTTTCAATGCTTTCACCAGTGAAATATTGGATGCATGCTGCTCTTCCAGGCTCCAGATTCGATTCAATACTTTTAGCAGTTCTGAAGATGTTTTGAGGCTATAACTCGTCTCACCAATCTTTTCCTTGAAGTCTATAGAACTGGTAGGTGTAACAGCAGGGTGATAACGTGCTACCTGCAAGAGGGAAGCAAATGAAGCTACCTGGGAGTTTTAATAGCAGGAAGTGTTTGTCAAAAAGACTTACAGCACAAGAGCAACACTTATGTGACTTTAAAATATGCATCAGCTGTAACATTCTGCCAGGGCATAGTGGGAAATTTGAATGGTTATAGTGTCCTTAACATACCAGTTAGGGAACAAAGCCACAAATGCAAATAGGAACATCAAATAACACTAGCTCGTCAAGAATATGCTCTTCGGCAAGCTATTACATATTTCTGTTTATTGTTAGCTTGGATAAGAAAAATCAATGCAGTGGCCGGAGGCGGCCCAACTGAATTAACTAGTATCCACTCAAAACCAGCTAAGAAGCAAACAAGTGAGAATTAAAAAGGAAATTAGGGTCTCTTATGTTAATTCATATTATCCATGACATCAAATAAAAGTGTGCACCAGGACAAAAGCAAACAGAAGACCTTGATGTACTATGTATACCTCCATGGAACTCCCATAGCTTGCAGGAGATACTGGTTGTATAGCATGACTGTTTCTTTCAATCAATTGATGATGTTGCATCAATGATGCAGCAACATGCCTCCTCAAACTGCTTGCACTTCCAGGCTGCCATCAGAAATCAGAAAGAGATTATTAATTAACTATAACTTTGCACTTTGTTAGCTTTCCATGCCCTATATGTTATTAAGGACAACTGAAAAATTAATATTACAAATCCACCATAACATTCACAGAAGGAATTTCTCAAGCATCATCCACAGAGCACGGGCTTGAACATGACAACTAAACCCTTCACACTATTTCCCTTATGTGACTTGTACAAAAGTTCAATAATTTTTTGAGGGAGGTCGAATGCTATATTTGGCATGCCAACCGGATTGACCTTCTACCTGCTCAAAGGCTTATATCCCTTCTCTTTGTATGCTTAACTATGCTCCTTTGTTTTACCTGGTGGGGTACATACACAACCCTTGGGCTCAACAGTTAGGTTCAACTCTGGTCTCATTGGACACCCAATGAAAGACTAACATTCAATTATGAAACGGGCATATATGTGAGATGAAGCGCACCCATAGACAAGGCTGGATAGACTCTCGTTCCATCATAGTTGGGCAAACCCCGATATCATCGTTAGAGATAAGTGGAACCAACATTCAAAGGCAAACTGAGATTAAGATGGTGCTTTCATAGAATAAAAATTGACTCCAAAACCATCCTAAGAAATTAGAACACCAATCCAAATTCAGAAGCTAGAAGACAATTAGCATCCAATGATTAATGCCCCATGCTAACTGAACTCCAAGAAACCTATAAGAACCAATTATGAGAACAGAGAAGAAAAAAAGCAATGAGAGACAACAAACCCATAGCTATGGTTGAATCAAATTCAATGATTTCAACATGAGGGAGGTCGAATCCAATAATTTCAACAACAAAATGCATACGAGCTACCAAATCGTGCCGTTAGATCAACAAGAGCTACAACCATGGGGTGAACGGGATAAACCCCAATCAAACACAAACATGGAGTATGTGCCTGTCTTCGTGAAAAAAGCATACAAACGAATCAAACCACCTGAAAACTTAAAACGAGCCTAATCAAACCAGCAGCCCCCAAAACCAAAACAACCCACCAATGGGAAAAAAAAACCATGAAATATGTGTGGATCCAATTATCACACCCAAACCCACACACAAGCAAATAATACACCTACCCAGATGAAAACATGAGGCAAATCAAGAACAAAGCCACTCAAAGCCATAATTGGACAACAACAAATAACAAACGAGCCAATCAATCATCACATAATACAGAGAATCAATATTTATGCACGTATACATATATGTATGAAAGAGGTTCAAATTTGTACCAGGTCAGGGGAATTAGGCGAAGGATCGGGGAGTTCAAGACCCTTGTCCTTGTAGAGATGGTGGTGGTGGTGGTGAAGGCGGCGGATTCTGGGAGGCGGACCGGTGACACCCTGGTGCATTTTAGAAAGTGGTAGCTTGTAGTGATGAAGTTCCCAAAGGGTTGCAGCAAGTTTTCTAGCAGAAACAGTGGGCAATTGTAAAGGAGAGACATCAATGATGTTATCTTGCACACCATGAGCCGCTAGTAGTTGTAGTCTCCACGGGGGTAGTGTTGGAGTGGTTTGTCCCCCTCTTTTCCCCACTCTCTTCAACTTTTCCCCCAAATATTCTTGCTTTTCTGCTGGCCCTTCCCCACTTTTTTCTTCCCTTTTCATTTCTCTCTCTCTCTCTCTCAACATACACGTTTGCTTTCTCCTCTGGATTTCAATATTGTTTTTCAGCATGACCCATCACTCTTTGCGTGCTCTTCTTTCTTCGTCAGACGTCTTATACATTGAATTTTTGTACTATTTGTGTTCGTGGTGTATCCTTCCATCTTTACTGTCTTCACGAGAGAAGTTTCAAGGATGGAAGCAATCAATCATTAGTGGGGACACTTATTCCTCGTAGGGGAGGGGTGTAGCTGTATCCCAGGTGTAGTTTTTACAAATTTTCATTTTATTATGTTCTTTTTTATTATTTTGTTACCGTAAAAAAATAATAAAATTAATTCTCATTCCATCATCTTTTCACAATTTTTTTAGAAAAATATTTTAGTTTTTAATTCATTTATTAGACTACTGATTTTTCTATGAAACAGTTTTTTTTTTTTTAAGCATGACTTTCATTGTAGAATTATGTTACGAAAATACGATTTCAAGTTTTTATACTAAAAGTGTATTTTCAAAGTATGCTTTTATATTGAAAGTAGTGTTTTAAAAACACGAATTTGTTGAAGGAATGATGATTTTGTAAATAAATTTGATACCATGATGTTTTATTAAATAATTTACAAAAGTATTGAAAGTCATTTAAAAACTAAGTATATGCAATTGACTTTTATTTTTTCTCCTTTTTAAGAAATAAATGAGGTTACAATATAAATTCCTAACATTTTATCTTTTTAATAATTGTGATTTCGTTTAATCTCATACATATTTGCCTATATTTGGGGGATAGTCGTAAATTATTTATCTTATATCTTAAATAGATATGAGATAAATTATTTTAAAGTGACTGCATTAATAATAACCCTAAGTATTAATTGAGTGGTTAGATCAATAAATTAATTATAAATGTTAAAAACGAGAGTCCAGATGAACATTTCAAGTGTTAAGAATCATAAGATATGAAGATGCTCTTCTTCCCCCCTCCTCCCCAACCCACAAAAAAACTCATAAAGAAATATGAAAGTATTTTGTTGCAGGTTTTTCTCCTAAGTAAATCACAAGATGCTAAGATCTACCCCTAGAAAGGAATACAAACAATAGCTTTCGGTGTAGGTGAACAACTCCAACAAGAATCCAAAGACGGTCAATTTTTAGAATAACACCATTACCTCACCTTTGTTATCGGTTCTTGGTGCATGGTCCTTCTCTTTTTTTTTTTTTTTTTCCGTGCTACATTATCATTTTGAACTCTTTGTCTCTCTCACACACATTTTTATTAACTAACCCACATAATAAATGAATCGTGTTTAAATAAAATACCTTTGTTTAAATTCGACTCATTTAGGCAAATAAAAATCCAAAGAGGGTCAAGTTTTAGAGTAATACCATTACCTCACCTTTGTTATTAGTTCTTGGTGCATGATCCTTCCCTTTTATTTTTTTTGTTTTTTTCGATGCTACATTATCATTATGAACATTCTCTCTCTCTCTTTCTCTCTCACACACACACACATTTTTATTAACTAACCCACATAATAAATAAATCGTGTTTGAATAAAATACATTTGTTCAAACATGACTCATTTAGGCAAATAGGAATCCAAAGACGGTCAATTTTCAGAATAACATCATTTATCTCACCTTTGTTATTAGTTCTTGGTTCATTGTTTTTTTTTGTTTTCTTTTTTGTTTTTTTCGGTGCTACATTACCATTATGAACTCTCTCTCTCTCTCTCTCTCTCACACACACACACACACACACGCACTTTTATTAACTAACCCACATAATAAATGAGTCGTGTTTGAATAAAATACCTTTGTTCACAAACGACTCATTTAGGCAAATAAAAATCCAAAAACAGTCAATTTTTCGAATAACACCATTACCTCACCTTTGTTATTAGTTCTTGGTGCATGGTTCTTCCCTTGTTTTTTTTTTTTTTTTGTTTTTTTTCGGTGCTACATTATCATTCTGAACTCTCTCTCTCTCTCTCTCACAAACACACACTTTTATTAACTAATCCACATAATAAATGAGTTGTGTTTTAATAAATACCTTAACTTGTTTATCACCGATAACCTATTTTATGACTTGATTACTAGTTTATCACGTGATTACTTGTTTAACATATGGCTATATTTATTGTAAAATTAGGGCTTTTAATTCAAAAAAAATTGCATTGTAAAATTAATGGGTAACACATGTCGGGTCATGTAATCTTTTTATAGATGAATTGTATTAAATTTTATATTTTATACCTATTTAGTAATAAAAATTAGAAGTGAGTCCTCGTAAAAGTACTTGTTTTGAAATAAGTCATGCAAAGAAACTTATAAGAAGTTAAGTCCATGTTTAAAATTATATGTAATGATTTTAGTCTACTTTTTTTTTTAATCTAAAAAATACCCTTCCTTAAAAGGAGATTAAATTAATTTCTTATTTTGGATATAGTTATCCCTTAAATCAATGTTAATTAAAAGATGTCAATAAAATATCTATCATAAATTTAAAATTTAAATTCAAAACTTTCTCTCTCTCTCTCTCCGGCCAGCTAGTGACGTTGTTTCATCAATGTTCATCTTTTAACTTTATATGAATTATGTCAATTTTGTGGGTAAACGGATGAGAATCTCTAGTCCTTGTTAATTTTTTATTTTTTGTAATTTGTGGTATTTTTCGTGGGGGTTAATTTGTTAAATTGAATGTTTCATGTTACTATTTTTTTTATTATGTTACTGTTCATGTTTACTGCTTTTATTAAGTATGTTATTGTTCATGTTACTATTATTTTGAGTNAGTTTACAGACTCCGGTTTCTAGTATATGTGTGTGTGTGATGGGTCTTGGAGGAGGGTGGCTTAAAATCTCTTTATCTGCCTTTGCCTGTTTTCTAAATGGTTTTCATTTTAATGGATTCATGTAGAACTGTGTTGCTGTTGTGTGAGAATGGGGCCATATTTGAGAAAATTTATTTGATATGGAAAGATTTTGTTAAACAAAGTTTTCTGTATTAATTTTATTTTTGCCTCTTTTTCAGAAGAGAACAATTTTTTTAAAATATCATTGGAAATCAATAAAAGATGTTTTTGGATTCAATACTTGTCTCGNATATTAATATTGAATGTTTCAATATATTTTATATTTAAATGTTACTATTTTTTTTGTATTTAAATGTATTATTTTTTTGTGTCCAAATGATAATTTTTTTTTGTATTTGAATATTATTATTTTTTATTTTTAATGTTACTATATATATATATATATACCTAACTTATATATGGATGTAGATAGACACGANGAAGAGAACAATTTTTTTAAACTATCATTGGAAATCAATAAAAGATGTTTTTGGATTCAATACTTGTCTCATGACGTTGTACGTTCTTATACATCTTATCTTGTAGTGTTATGCTTGGATACTGCATAAGTTGTAATTGTTATGTCAGAGAAGTGAATATTTTCTTTATTATATAATTGGACGAGTCGAATTGAATCTATCTAATTTATTTTTCTTAAATAAATTAAAAAAATTATTTAAATACAATTTGTTTAAAAACAAACAAAATCAAGTTGAACTTAAACGAGCGTAAAACGAGTCAAATTCGAGTATTTACATATAAATAAATTGAATATGTTAATATTAATTTTTAAACGAGTTTAAAAAAATATTCAAATTTGATTCATTTTCAAAATGTACTAAAAACTAGGCAAACTTAAATTGAGTTTTAATACTTGGAATCGATTATAAGTCCGGAATGTTCTAATGGNGGAGGGTGGCTTAAAATCTCTTTATCTGCCTTTGCCTGTTTTCTAAATGGTTTTCATTTTAATGGATTCATGTAGAACTGTGTTGCTGTTGTGTGAGAATGGGGCCATATTTGAGAAAATTTATTTGATATGGAAAGATTTTGTTAAACAAAGTTTTCTGTATTAATTTTATTTTTGCCTCTTTTTCAGAAGAGAACAATTTTTTTAAACTATCATTGGAAATCAATAAAAGATGTTTTTGGATTCAATACTTGTCTCATGACGTTGTACGTTCTTATACATCTTATCTTGTAGTGTTATGCTTGGATACTGCATAAGTTGTAATTGTTATGTCAGAGAAGTGAATATTTTCTTTATTATATAATTGGACGAGTCGAATTGAATCTATCTAATTTATTTTTCTTAAATAAACTTAAAAAATAATTTAAATACGATTTGTTTAAAAACAAACAAAATTAAGTTAAACTTAAACGAGCATAAAACGAGTCAAATTCGAGTATTTACATATAAATAAATTGAATGTGTTAATATTAATTTTTAAACGAGTTTAAAAAAATATTTAAATTTGATTCATTTTCAAAATATACTAAAAACTAGGCAAACTTAAATCGAGTTTTAATACTTGGAATCGATTATAAGTCCGGAATGTTCTAATGTTCAAGGTTTGGTTCCGTATCGTAATGGTACCAGCCCTAGATGATGGTGGGAGTTAATCTAATTTCTTCCTTAAAATCTGGAATTTAAATTGTACCGTGAAATAACACAACCTAATTCTCACACTAACCGACATTGGATAACTGGGCATTGCACATGCTTTATAAGCCCAAAACCGTCAAACCATCGGCTATAAGCATTCAGAGACGACCCTCATCTGAAAAACACTCTCCATGCTCGGCTTCAAGCCCAAACCTCTGATTTTCAATGGTTCAGTTCCAGGATCAATCGTTCTTGAAATCTGCTGAAAAACACTCTGCAATACTCATCTTCAAAGCCAAAAATCAAATCTCTGATTTCAAAGATTCGGTTTCATGATCAATCTTTCTTGAAATCTTCTGAAAACACTCACAAAAGCCATTGGTAGTTTCTGATGAAGAATCGATCGGAAGTTCCATAGAATGGCAGAGCAGGCGATTGAGAAGAAGTCGTTTGAAGATGATGATCCGAAGAGCATTGCGAAGAAAGAAGACGTTACGAACGATCCAGAATTCTTCAGCTGTCTGCTTCAGCCTTCGCCTGCGGACTCTAATCCCAATGGCATTGGA